CGTCTCGATAAATAGCAACTATCAACAGACTATCTATGTGTTCGTCTCGATAAATATAGCAACTAACAACAGACTATCAATGTTCTCGACTTGATAAATAGCAACTATCAACAGACTATCTATGTTCTCGTCTCGATACATAGCAGCTAACAACAGACTATCTATGTTCTCGACTTGATACATAACAGCTAACAACAGACTATCTATGTTCTTGTCTCGATACATAGCATCTAACAACAGACTATCTATGTTCTCGTCTCGACACATAGCAACTAACAACAGACTATCTATGTTCTCGTCTCGATAAATATAGCAACTAACAACAGACTATCTATGTTCTAGACTTGATACATAGCAACTAACAACATACTATCAATGTTCTCGACTCGACACATAGCAACTAACAACAGACTATCTATGTTCTCGTCTCGACACATGGCAGCTAACAACAGACTATCTATGTTCTCGTCTCGATACATAGCAGCTAACAACAGACTATCTATGTTCTCGACTTGATACATAACAGCTAACAACAGACTATCTATGTTCTCGTATCGATACATAGCAGCTAACAACAGACTATCTATGTTCTCGTCTCGATACATAGCAGCTAACAAGAGGCTATCTATGTTCTCGACTTGATACATAACAGCTAACAACAGACTATCTATGTTCTCGTATCGATACATAGCAGCTAACAACATACTATCTATCTTCTCGACTTGATATATAGCAACTAACAACAGACTATCTATGTTCTCGACTTGATACATAGCATGTAACAACAGACTATCTATGTTCTCGTCTCGACACATAGCATCTAACAACAGACTATCTATGTTCTCGTCTCGACACATAGCAGCTAACAACAGGCTATCGATGTTCTCGACTCGATATATAGCAGCTAACAACTGACTATCTATGTTCTCGTATCGATACATAGCAACTAACAACAGACTATCTATGTTCTTGTATCGATACATAGCAACCAACAACAGACTATCTGTGATCTTGCCTCGATACATAGCAACTAATAACATACTATCAATGTTCTCGTCTCGATAAATAGCATCTAACAACAGACTATCTATATTCTCGTCTCGATATATAGGAGCTAACAACAGGCTATCTATGTTCTCGACTCGATATATAGCAGCTAACAACAGACTATCTATGTTCTCGTATCGATACATAGCAACTAACAACAGACTATCTATGTTCTCGTATCGATACATAGCAACTAACAACAGACTATCTGTGATCTTGCCTCGATACATAGCAACTAATAACATACTATCAATGTTCTCGTCTCGATAAATAGCATCTAACAACAGACTATCTATATTCTCGTCTCGATATATAGCAGCTAACAACAGGCTATCTATGTTCTCGACTTGATAAATAGCAACTAACAACAGACTATCTATGTTCTCGTATCGATACATAGCAGCTAACAACAGACTATCTATGTTCTCGTCTCGATAAATATAGCAACTAACAACAGACTATCTATGTTCTCGACTTGATACATAGCAACTAACAACATACTATCAATGTTCTCGACTCGATACATAGCATAGAAATGAACGTAGAGATTGAAAGTGTACAAACTAAATTTTGCAAATGGCTTCTATACACTGGACAAAAAACCACTAACAACATGATCAGAGGTGAATGTGGGAGGTATGAGCTTTATATTAACTATATTTGTAGACCTATTAAATATTTTTTGAAAACCCAGGAAATGGGAAATCACAGATTACCAAAACTATGTTATAATATGTTATATAACCAAAGTCAAATAGGTAGAAACAATTGGTGTACGTCTGTTAAAAATATACTATTAACGCATGGTTTTGGCGATGTATGGTTTTCACAAGGAGTGGGTAACATAAAACAATTCATGTGCATATTCAAACAACGACTTAAAGACAACAGTCTTCAATCTTGGCAATCAGATATTACCACTTCTACCAAATGTCAGTTCTATTCCATTATAAAAAATGAATTTGTATGTGAAAATTATTTAAACTCAAACTTATCTCAATCCTTAATTTTTCATCTGGCTAATTTTAGATGTTCAAAGCATAAGTTAAATGTAGAACTTGGAAGACATCATAACATTCCATTTCATGCTAGATTATGTAATATTTGCAATTATAAACAGGTAGAAACAGAATACCATTTCATACTTGTCTGTCCAGTGCTACAGGATCTCAGAGTTAACTTCCTGCCAAAATATTGTCACTTAAAACCCAAAGATTTCAAACTTAAATCTCTATTCACAAGCAAATCTATAGATGTCCAAAAAAACTTAGCCTTGTACATAAAAAAAGGATTAGATATTAGACAGAAAAATACTCTCATGAATTTTATCCAATCGACTTATTGTATATACCTGCCTTAATTAAAAGTTTGAACTATTATTTTGTATAATTAATTAATATGTGAAATCTAGATTATTATTTTGTATATAATATATTTGAAATTAAAATTATTATCTGTATTTGTTTAATATACTATATTTAATATTTAAATTATTTTTGTATATTTGTGGGACTTTGCTACGGCAAAGTCCCAGTTTGTTATCGAATTGTCAATTCTTTTTTTTGTGGGACTTTGCTTTCAGCAAAGTCCCAGTTTGTTATCGAAATGTCTATTCTTTTTTTTTTTTTTTTTTTTTCGAAATTTACACACCTTCCTGTGCTTAGACTGCAATAGTTGCAGCAACCATTCAACTTTCCTAGACCTTCTGTAGTGGCAACGTGTTGCATAAATATAAATTGGAACATTTTTGCAAAACCGGAAATGCCACAGTCCAATATGTGCAAAAAGTAGAAAATCGGACCTAAAAGTCGCATTTTCCGGTCGATTTTCTTCGGGTTTTTATTTCTGGAATCTACGTGTAATTTCTGATATAATAGCACTTAAACAACTTCGAAATTCGAAAATTTGTCGCACACTTTTTTCGGCCGAATTTGCAATT